AAAAAATGTCTCAGAAAGGAAGTTTATAAATTTAAGTTGTGTTAGATTAGATCAGGTTAAGTAAGTTTAGATTAGGATATGCTAGATTAGGTTAGTTTAGATTAGATTAAGTTAGATTAGATTATGTTATGTTAGGTTCACCAACATTGCTCAACTAGAAGCAACCTATTATTTTGTCCTTATGCAACTTTTTTCTTAGCCAAAACTGTGACTTTTTTCTTGTGGGTATTTTCATTTAGGACTTGGATTCGCTAAACAGGATGTCCTCAGATTCAGTCCTTTCACTCTCTCTCTCTCTCTCTCTCTCTCTCTCTCTCTCTCTCTCCTCTCTCTCTCTCTCTCTCTCTCTCTCTCTCTCTCTCTCTCTCTCTCTCTCTCTCTCTCTCTCTCTCTTTCTCTCTCTCTCTCTCTCTCTCTCTCTCTCTCTCTCTCTCTCTCTCTCTCTCTCTCTCTCTCTCTCTCTCTCTCTCTCTCTCTCTCTCTCTCTCTCTCTCTCTGTCTCTCTCTCTGTCTCTCTCTCTCTCTCTCTCTCTCTCTCTCTCTCTCTCTCTCTCTCTCTCTCTCTCTCTCTCTCTCTCTCTCTCTCTCTCTCTCTCGATTTTGGCTTAAATAGCAGCGCTCTTCTTGCCGAATAAGGCAAGCGAAAGTTTGCGTATGTAATAATTTCGCAAAAATCATTCTGAACCTAACGAAAAAAATATTTTTCATTGTGTTTGCTTATTATTAAATTATTGTAAACTTATTTAAAGTATATTTACTTGGATTAGGTTAAATTAAATTCCGCTTGTTATAATAAGGTTAGGTAAGTTTTCTAAGGTTCTTTAGGTACAAATTTATTAATTTATACATTAACACAAATGAAAAAAATATATCTTTAAACGTATAAGATAAAAATTTAGAAAGAACTTAGTTTTAAAGGAGTTCTTGCTAATTGATAAATTTTACCTATTCAGCACGACATATGTATATATACCCAACCAATGTGTTAGCTTCAGTGAATCTACCTGGCAGATTGTTCACCTCATCTTTAGATGTTTCACTTGTGCGATAGATTTTTTCAAGTCAGTAAGATATACCTGGAGGAAGAAAATTATATAGTCACGAGAGAGGAGAAGTAAAGTGCGATTTGATGTTATGAAATCGCAATATCACGATTGGAAATAAATCAGGGAACGGGTGGGGCTTAAACCCATGGCAAGTGAATCCTAAAATTCACAGGCCAATGCGTTAACCACTCGGCCAACTGGCTCAAATAGATGGATGAATCTTATGAGAGCCATCTGGCCGAATGGCTAACGCACTTGCTTATGAGTTTTAGCCCTCACCCGTTCTTAGCCCTCACCCGTTCTTAGCCCTCACCCGTTCTTAGCCCTCACCCGTTCTTAGCTCTCACCCGTTCTTAGCCCTCACCCGTTCTTAGCCCTCACCCGTTCTTAGCCCTCACCCGTTCTTAGCCCTCACCCGTTCTTAGCCCTCACCCGTTCTTAGCTCTCACCCGTTCTTAGCCCTCACCCGTTCTTAGCCCTCACCCGTTCTTAGCTCTCACCCGTTCTTAGCCCTCACCCGTTCTTAGCCCTCACCCGTTCTTAGCCCTCACCCGTTCTTAGCCCTCACCCGTTCTTAGCCCGCACCCGTTCTTAGCCCTCACCCGTTCTTAGCCCTCACCCGTTCTTAGCCCTCACCCGTTCTTAGCCCTCACCCGTTCTTAGCCCTCACCCGTTCTTAGCCCTCACCCGTTCTTAGTCCTCACCCGTTCTTAGCCCTCACCCGTTCTTAGCCCTCACCCGTTTTTAGCCCTCACCCGTTCTTAGCCCTCACCCGTTCTTAGCCCTCACCCGTTCTTAGCCCTCACCCGTTCTTAGCCCGCACCCGTTCTTAGCCCTCACCCGTTCTTAGCCCTCACCCGTTCCCTGATTTACAATTACAGGTCAGACACAGATATGATGGCAGTAGTAGTTCAGTTTAAAGTGGAGGCGTGATGGTTGGCTTCCTTCACCAGCTGTATTGCTAAGAGTTTGAGAAACTGGAAACTTTTTTTTTTTACCTAGAATGAAGTTGAAATCGGAGTTTTTTCTATGTATTTTCTCCTTAATGTGTCATCTTAAACTATTCTGACAATTTTCTTTAGTGATGCTATTTTAAAAATTTAAATTGATTCAAATTGTATTTATTCTTTCTATTTTTGTCTTGGTTAGATATTTTGTGCACATTGTATATTTTTCTTTATTCATTTTTATTTTTTACCGTTATAAACTTCATTCACATTTCACCCAACTTTATGTTTTTATAGTGAAAGTATGTTTAATGTCCTTAACCTATCACCTTAGGAATGGATTCAAATACAGGGAACTAATATTATCATCCATTTCAATATTTACCAACGCATTTATATCAATACTGTGCTGTGGAGATCAGAAATAGACCTTATAATCTAAATGAAGTCTTTCCAATGATGTATATATTTACAGCATAAGACTATAAGAAAGGAGGAACACTGCAG